AATAATAATAATAATAACATAAGGGCCACAATCGGAAGGGTTTTAGTGAGTAAACAGCCAGACTGCAGTCCCAGACAACTCACAGCGCCAGCTCTAGAGGGTACATAAGAGAGCCCATTTCCCAAACTTCATCGATAACAAAAAATAATTAATTATATATAAATCAAGTAACTGAAAAAATAACAGGTAATAATTGGATACTTCTGATCACTTACATATTCGTTAACATATTTATTATTTTTAATGTAACTTAAACTTATTTAATATGTGTATGTAAATTTTTGCCTGTAAAATATGCCTCTATGTTTTTTAGTTTAACATATACTTACCTATTGTAAACAAATATGTGCTTTTTTCCCAATTATCACTAGTTTCTACAAGCACACATATTTAGCAGCATTTGAATTCAATTTATGCTGTCATTGTCAATTGTTCAATCATCTCACAATGCCTCATAATTCTGACGTTAATTGAATCACTCGTTAAACTACACAATTAAAGAGCATTATGAGATGATTGAAATATTTTGGATCTTAAGCAGAGATTGCAGACAGCATAAATTGAATTCAAATCTCCCGCTAAATTTCGATGTGAACTCAACCGGTAAAGTAGTTTTCTCTGCAAGCAGTAGAAATTAGAGTCTAGTTTTGCTTGCAGCCGCTGACAATAGCGACAAATAGCATGCTACAGGCCCATATGGCAGTTTCCAATCTATAACCTCTGTGATCTGTGACTAAGTCACAGTTTGACAAATTATTATCATTAATGACAAGGGCTATCCACCTGTAACTATCTGTTAATGACAAAAAACATCATTGCCGCTGTGCCTTTTCATCAAAAAATTGTAGAAGAAAACTTTTTCCAACATCAGTGCACACCACAGAACATTCCCCCACTGCACAATGCACCATTGTAAAACAAGATTATTTAACTCTTTGTTTTATCGAATTTAACTTGATTACTCTAATTGACTTTTTAGAATCGTAGGTCGCTAGGCAAGTAGAAGAAACAAAACCATGTCACTTGACAACGG